TAGTTCAGCAAGCGTATTACTATAGCAAACGGCTTATAGTCTGAGAAACGTTACGACCACAGGTTTCCTGCGACCCCCTGCTTATGGTTTCCAGTAAGTGAAAACCCCAAATTTTTCTACGATTCCGGACCAACAGTCTCCACGTTCGTTATTGTCAATCACCACAACATAAACCGGTAGTAATTAGTACCAAATGGCCACATCAGAAGACGTCACTGTTGTCCTGACAAGGGGTCAGGGCTCAGACTCTTCCGCTGGCCAAGTTCGTTCACAGTTCTTGCCTTGTTGTTTCCTAAGGCACACATTCACAATGTCATTTTTTATGTAATGTCTGCTGGCAGGAGTTATCGGGAATGTACATCCATAACAAATGCCAGCGTTTGGAGTGCGATGGCAGGCCCAGTTGCCGACCCACATAGCGTCGACTGGGATCCCTGACGCCCCCCACTTTTGTTGTTGATTAAATTCGGGTCAAGTGTTTGTTGTGGACCAGAGGGTGTGGTGGTACGCCTGGGTGCGGGTCCGACAGTGCCAGCCACATGCGGCCTCTCCCCCCTCCGATCGTCTTGACTATGTCTTGATATAGGGCCCAGGTAGGGGAGGAGGAGGAGGAGAGAGTACAGTAGATGCTGCGAAAATCTACTATCATTATAAACTAATTCACGCGCAAGTTACTTCCCCTGCTCTTGCCCTGCTGTGGAGCACACGGTGAACATCGCCGGTCATGATGTCGGCCTTACGCGCCTAAGCCAACCAATTTTCTTTTAACGTTTGTGACATGGCGACCGTAAACCGCCATTAAATAAGTTTACTTGTCATCGCTGCCTTGTGGTTAAGTTTTTAAGCCAAAGCGCTGGAGGAGACAACCTCGAACAAACAATCCGAGCGGCTGTTGGGGACCCGCCCGTATTCGAAATTCCCAAGAAACCTCATGAAGCATGTCCGATCACAGTACTACGACCCATGCTACGGCGTTCGCGGGAACCGACGCGCTCCGCAACCCTGGTCCAGTGGTGCGGGCGAATAGTATGCGAGCTGGATTACTCAATCGTGGACGGACTCTCGGTATTGGATGCTGGAATGTGCGAACTTCCTGGACCTTGGTACCCAAAGCCTGACCGCACGCAGCCTTTATCAGTACAACGTGGATGTCAGCTGTCTGTCTGAGGTTCGACTCCCTGACTCAGGCTCTCGTGAAATAAAGACCCCGGGAGTCGAATCACACTTCACCCTGTACAACAGCGGCCCGCGCGATTCTTCTGGTCGACACGGTGTGGCGATCGCCCTATCACAACAAGCGGACCTCGCGCTACTTCCTTGGGAACCAGTCAATGACCGGTTGGCCTACGTGCGACTGAAGGATCACTTTACGAACATCTCAATCGTCGCTGTGTACGCACCAACTTCGGCTACCGAACAGCGCGATAAAAAGGCGTTTTACTCTCAATTGCAAGCGGTAGTTGAATGAATGCCTCGCCGCGATCTGCTGATTGTTGCTGGCGATTGGAATGGTCGAACTGGACCTGGCGACCCCACAGCCAGTCACCTTCTTGGCCGCTTTGGGCTTGGTTCCCGATGCGAAAATGGTGAGAGATTGTTGAACTTCGCTGATCGAAACCGACTGCTTGTCACCAACACATGCTTCCAGCATCGCAAGAAACATCTGCTGACCTGGTATTCAAACGACGGTCGTACGGCCAGTCAGATTGACTACATACTAGTCAGCTCAAGGTTCCGCAGCTGGGTTCACGATTGCAGATCGATGCGTGGTGCCGAGACTGGTAACGCCCATGGGTCGGACCATGTCATCGTCCGTACACGCTTGAAAGTTCATCTCTCATCCGCGCCAAAAATGCCACGTCCTAGACGCCTTGATGTCGCACAAATCCGACAAACCAGCACTGCCGAGGCCCTAAGCAGAGAAATCCGAACCTGTTTTACGACCCGAGCCGACGGAGAAGCCAGTAACCAGTGGTCGTCACTGAAGACTTCAGTCTATGGGGCAGCTGAGAAAATCCTTGGATACACCCAGCGACGCCTCAGTAACTAGATCAGCGGAAGAACCCTGCAGTTGTCTGCTCAGACGGCCAGAGCCAGGTCCCGCAACGATGACCACTTCTGCCAACTTCGGAAGACGACGGCAAAATCGGCCAGGGATGACCGGAAGCAATATTGGGCCGAAATAGTGACCTCCATGGAACAGGCCTCGAACGCTGGTGACACGCGAAAGCTCTACCGTCTGATCCGCCAAGTTAGCGGTAAGCCCTCTACACCGAGTGACTCTGTTCGCGATGTGAACGGCGGCTTTATTGCTGACAACTCGGCCAAAGTCGAGCGCTGGCGTGAGCACTTTGAGCACCATCTCAATTTCGATACCCAACCTACCTCACTCTTGCTCTCCTCCTCAGCGGAGTTTCTTCCCTCTCTCACCTATGCAGTGCCATGCGATCCCTCCTCCGACGGAGAAGTCGCCGATGCCATACGAAAGTTGCGCAACAATAAGGCACCCGGAGAGGACGGTATACCTGCTGAAATCTTCAAGTCTTGTGTCGACACTCTGGCGCCCTGGCTCCATGAGGTGATTGAACGAGCGTGGAGAGACGAGGTTATTCCTGATGACTGGGGCTTAGGCATCCTTGTATCTATCCTCAAGAAGGGAGATAAGACGAGATGCGAGAACTACCGCGGCATAAGTCTAATCGACGTTGCTGCGAGGATCTTCGCTATTGTCCTACTCAGGCGATTCCAGGCTGTGCGTGACTCTAGGACGAGGCCCAACCCAGCCGATTTTCGTGCTGGACGTGGATGCGCAGACCAGATATTCGCACTGAGGCGCATTCTCGAATTTCGCCATAGCTACCGACAACCGACGGCCGTCTGCTTCATTGATTTTGCCGCCGCGTTCGATTCCGTTCACCGCGAGTCTCTGTGGCGGATAATGGCGCTAGATGGTGTTCCGGCAAAAATAATCGTCATGATCAAGGCCTATTATCGCTCCGCTACTGCGATAGTCCTGGTCAGCAACAATCTATTCCCAACCGTTCGGTATTCGGTCTGGCATTCGACAGGGTTGTATCCTGTCACCCACTCTGTTCAACTATACTATTGACTGGATCCTCGGGAGGGCCCTACACGAAGGTGACGACGTTGAATTTGCACCCGGACATCGACTGACTGAGCTCGACTATGCCGATGATATCGCCTACAGTCTATGGTGTCACGGGTGAACGAGGTCGCTAAATCGGTCGGTTTATCCATAAACGCTGGGAAGACTAAAGCATTTTCAAGCTGTATCCCTGACCGGGAGAAGCCACCCATCAGGATTGCTGGCTGTCAACTTGAAGAAGTAGACAATTTAAATAGCTCGGGGCGAGGCTGCTGTCTAATGGACAGAATAAGGACGACATTGTCTCCCGAATCGATGCTGCCCACTGGGTTTTATCCAGCCTTCGGAAATGCCTGTGGAACCGACGTGACCTCTCCATCGCCACAAAGATCCGCGTGTAACGTGCATCTGTCCGGTCTGTCCTTCTCTACGGTTGTGAATGCTGGGCTTTTCGCGTGGAGGACGAGCGAAAACTGGAGGTATTTGACCACCACTGCTTGAGGACCATCCTTAGTGAAGTTCATCGACTTCATCTCAAATGAGACAGTCCACGCTCGCTGCGACAACATCTCAAGGATAACTCAGGCCATTCAAGAAGGACGACTGAGGTGGTTCGGTCATGTTCTTTGTCGTCCACCTCAGGAGCTCAATGTTACTGCCCTCGATCCGGCACCGTTGCCCCATTAGAGGCGTCGAAGAGGGGGTCAGTTCAAAACCTGGCTCGACACAGGTCGTCAAGACATGGAGGTGGTTCTTGGACCTTCGGTCTTCGGTCTCCGTCGTTGGCGAAGGGAATGGGTTGATCTGTCCAGATCGGCTGCCGCGGATCGTCACGCGTGGAGAGGTACAGTTCGGGACATCATCGAGGCCGGCTAGATCAGGCATGATCGCAGCCGTTTTAAGTACAAAGTACAAGTAACTTTTGTTCGATTTTGAGCCACTGACAATGGAAAACCAAGGAATCTTCCAATTATCAGCAAAATGTTGAAAAAGAACCACCGATATGCGCGAAGCAGCGTAACTAGCCAATGAATAAGCGTCAACAACTGACCTACTTGTACGGAGCCTGATTGTGCCGTGCGCTCTTTCCCCGGCACATGAAGGTGGCACGCGCTGGAAGGACACGCCTAGACGGCCCTATAACTTATCGGCAAATACGCGGAGTGAAGTTAACGGTTTTGCCGCTTGCTGAGGGCTAGGAAAGGGGCTCCGGATTGGAGAACATGTCTCTCGTCAGTTATGGTTTGGTGGAAGTATATTGTCTTTGTAGATTTTAGTTTGTTCGTCAACATTAAAAACATAAAAGAGGGGTTTTCGTAGGATAGCCTGAACTCTAAATTCAAACTTGAAATTTCCTGAAGGCTCAGACAGACATTTGAAGCAAGAGCAATAAATTTATGCCAACCTCAACGCCGGTCCAAAAAGCGCCAAGGGGAAAGCTAATCCCGGAGAAGGTCGAGGGTTTAGTCTCGACTTCTAATACTACTAACGCGGGGAAATCGCCGGGGTAGATCGACGTATGACGACTCGAAAAGATATAACGGAACTTGATACAGGCAATTCAGTAATTACCATCCAGTTGTATGTTACTGTACAGCCAAAAACTGAGTGGATTAAGTCTCTAGAAGCTGACCGAAAGTCAGCGACGCCGGTTTTACAAGGTCAACTCGGCGTCATTTTTAAAGAGCTGGAATACCTGCTTCTATGAGATAGCCGTTAGGTCTGTTGATAAGGGATTTTGACGACAGCTGAAAACTCTTTACACAATGGCCTGGCATAAAGGTGCACCGAAATTATCGTGGAGGTCGGGGTTGCATCGAGATGAGGGTATTTTTTTTTCTATAGCCCGCTCTAAATCTCGTGTGCATGTAGTAATGTTGTCGCTGTAAATATATACGGTGCGAGTTTTATTAATAAAATCCCTTCTGTGCTGAGTGATACCTGTTTGAAGTTTGCAGTTGGAGCTAACACTTACCCTCGGCAACTTGAAAAAACGGGCGGCCCTGAATTGGCACTCATTTCTATCTTGTTCTGAGGCAGTCCGCGCTTGCTTGCTCTCAGTCGCTTTGCCACGCCGCCCTCCTGTCTGCCCCACACTCCCTTCTGTCCGCCTCTCGCTCCCTGTCGATTCGCCGCTAGGGCCGCGGGAGTCTTGTCACTAGCCTCGCGAGAGTTCGAAGCCAGTCAACGCAACCCCTTCCCTGATCGACTGGCGGGCGCTGTCTGGGAAAGAGCGAAAGGCGCACACACGCGCTGGTGGCTAAATAGCCTCAGCGATGGAAAAGGACAAAAGAACATGCTCGGAGAGACAACTTGCGGCTACTGCTTGAAGAGCCTCTTGTGCGCTCTTACACGTCAGTAAAGCTGTCCAACCACATTCGTCTTCCCTGACTTCTGATTTAGGGATCTTTGTGTTTTCGACCATACCACCCTTCCACAGTTCCATGCGTTGAATCTACCTCTCAGTCTTTTTCCACACCTACTCCTCTCCCGTGATAAGGCAAAGTAAATACAACCGTAGGTGGGCGTGCGCATAGCGAGTGGAATACATAAACTACCACATAAATAAACGTGTTACACACTCCCCCTGCTCTGCCGCTTCCCTCACTTATTTACCTGTGTCAGCAGCTAGGCCAACGCGTAACTCCGGTGGCATTTAATTTGTTTTGCTACTTGAGAGCAACGGGTGTGGGAAGAAAGGGCGACGTGGATGCACCGTAGGTCTCCCTCATAGATATCGGCTGCGTAACATTATCCACTCTACCGCTCTGAACGCCCTCGGACGCGCACTTCGCCAATATCAGGAGTGGTTTGACGACAAGGACATAGACAGCAACAACCTACTCACCGAAAATAAGAGACTGCACAAAGTCTACATCGACCACCGGTCCGACACAAGCAAAGTCGCCTTCCTCAGATGTCGCTGCCTATGCAGCAACGACTGCGGTAAGTGCAGGACAACTGGCTGAATCGCAAGGCCGAGAAAATCCAAGGATATGCGATATTCCAGGAGACGTGCCACCAGGGCCACATCCCACAGGATTTGAATGACGCCACAGTTGTCAATTTATACAAACGGAAAGTGAACCGGCAACTCTGTGATAATCACAAATTAATCTTGCTGCTCAACATTGCCGGGAAGGTCCTTGTCCGCATCCTCCTCAACCGTCTCAACGGTCATCTGAAACATGAACTTTTCCCGGAAAGTTAGTGTCGCATCCGATGACACCGTGGAACCGCATACATGATCTTCGCCGCCCACCACCTATATTATAAGTGCCAGGAAATGCATACCGACCTCAACACTACATTCGCAGACCTGACGAAAGCCTTCGGCACTGTGAATTGTGGTGGACTGTGGAAAGTCATGAAGAAATTCGGCTGCCCTGAGGGATTTACGCACATGGTGCTTCAGCTCCACCAGCAACAGTAAACCGCCGCAGACGAAACCCCATTATCGCGCATCACATATGAAGTCGTTCGAGATAGAACTGACTTATATGACCCTCTAGACAGGACATGAGAGCAGGAATCGCCTGCAATACGGATGGCTTTGAGCCAACTTCCAGTGAAATTAGTGTTAGGTTAAATTTGGGACTAGAGTTAGGTTAGGAATTAAGTTTAAGGTTGGATTTAACATTACCGGTAACTTAGACCAGGATCAAGTTTAGGGTTAAGGTAGGGACCAGTGCTAACTGCGGAGTTAAGTTTAGGGTAGAGTTAGGGCCAAGATCGGAACAAGGGTTTAATTATATTTGAGGGATCTTAGTGGGGTTAAGACAAGAGAATATTTTGTCTTTTCCGAAATTATGTGCAGGTCCACCTTTATTACTTGGGCGGGCCCTACCCAAACCCTGTCTTGTTTAGGGGACCAGATAAGCCAGTTCCACCCTTTTCGGCATCACACTCTAACGTCAGTGGGCAGTAGGTTCTTCGGCCTACTCTCCATCTGCCCCCATGCTAATCTTATAAATGTGAGACGAGCTATGCACTCTCTTTGTGAGAAATCCTAGTGCGATGTGTGGGAAGAGTCAGATCCTGTGTGCGGTGCACGTAGATGGGCTGCTTCTTTTAGCTCTCTCAGTCGCTGCATCCAATATCAGCATCGGTTGATTGACCGGACTGGACAATCAGCCGGTGCACGCGAGAGGGAAGTGAGTGTGGGGTCCAGCCTCCGGAATCCACCCGCGCGGCACTCCAGTGCAATACTCACTATGATAAATCCGGCGCACTTGAGACTATCTCGACGCTCTAAATATCATGGGTTGGAAAGTCACCAACTGACGGTACAACTCCAGCCTCGCAATCAGCCCATTGTGTGTTTATGTGGAGTGGTGGCTTAGTGGACTGAGTCATGCGCAACGGCTCCTCATTAACAATGCCTCTTTGGAGCACTAACGGATAGGAGATTCTGCCGAGGACCCCCTTTGTGTACAAACCTGGTGTGATATGTGGGGACAGGCCGTGTGTGGCACGCACAGACGGGCTCTCCGACTTTATCAGCCACTGCAACCAATCCCGACATCGGAAATCTGACTGGTTCCTGTAGGAGTGAGATTGACTCTGGGGATTGCGTCTCCACAGCACTCAGCACAAATTCCTCACTAGAAACAGCCTGACGCGTTTTTAAACTATCACGGTGAGCTAAAAGCCTTGCCGTGGAGGGCTGTCAACTGGCGCGCAATAACTTGGGCCTCCTCGCAGAAAGGAGAGTCAGGCTTCAATGACTCCTTCTTACCGTTGCCTCCTTGGTACTCTCACTCATCTGGGATCCGAGCCGTGCCCCTTGTTGTTTTGGCGAAACCTTGGTCCACTGGGCCCTTATCAGGTGTGCGTGGCATGTGCAGGTGTGCGTGGCATGTGCGGGTGTGCTGTTTAGCTTTGTCGTAGAGTGTGCTCGATCCCGCCTCCGACTTCCTTAGCCCTATGTTGACACCAGGCCCAGAAGAGGGAGATAGATGCAACGAAAGCCTACTATCATTATTAAACTAGTTCATGCTCAA